GTTGCACGGTTTTCAAGTTAAGAATTATAAAATTACTACTGCTGATCTTTCACCCATCGATTCTCTACTCTGATCCTTTTATTATTTACCTAGTTCTTGCCTATTTTGCTTGTCTTCTAGTCTTTCTAGTTTTTTTCACTAATCCTTCTCTTTTCATTTTATCATCCATAACATATGCACCCTGAAAATAGGACATTTACTTGTTTACCTCGGATTTTCCAGTGAACTAACCACCGTTCTAAGCCCTTTTTAATGTACATGATATTTGCTGCAAGAAAGATATGAAAATTAGTTTTATTCTTTAACTCTCCGGCCTTGCCGTGCAGGCAAAGACGAAAATTTATTCATCACGAAAATTATTGCAAGAATGATAGGCTACAGGCAGAAGATATGACCTAAGGCAGGACTCGAACCTGAACCTCACGCATTCCAGGCGAGTGTGCTACCCATTACACCACCCATGCCTCCTTTGCCTGATCATTGTCAACTCGAATGCACAGGAGACAATGGCAAAGTGACGCTGACGTCAGTTGATGAGAGTGACGCTCATCAAGTGAACCATGATGCCTCATTGACACAATTGAGAAGAAAACAGCAGATAAACCATCAAGAACCTCAAGTAAGATCCCTGAGATAAGATAAGATCCAGAAAATTGCTATAATAGCAGCGATGCTTACCCGGCTCCTTATTTCCCTAGTGTATCACGTCATTTCATCACTCTTTTACGAAACGAGATTGGCACGACCTACCCCACTGTAGACGAGAGCACTTTTTGGCAGAAACGACGCAAACTTTCAAGTGATCGTACACCGTGCTTCTGATGGTTTTAATGAAGAAGCCTTAAAGACAGCTCCCGCGATAAAAGTCTCATGGATAGCTGCTTTCCAATTATGAAACAGTAGCTGATAAGTAATCTCCCAAAGAAGAAAACAGGCAAGAAGCGTCCAGAACAACATAAACAAAATCGCTCCTCACAGTTACTCCCTGCGGTCTCTGCAACCCCTAGCTCACAAATCTCTCTATCACATCTCGCAGTAGTTGATATCATCCAGTGCAAAGAAAGAATACAAAAAGAAAACAACAAAAACGCAGAGGAAAAACTCTGGGAAGGAAAAAGGAATTTTATCAACACGGTGTCTGAATTTGTGATTACGGTAGCCTTTTGTGCGTCGTGGTTTTGCATCACGAAAATTGCGTCACTCGTGTTTTTTACGCGTTTCACCTCGCGAAATGGGTTGAATTGAATGTATATACCTCCAATGAGTAAACTGTAATGAAGGAGAGCAGAATTATCCAGGGGCATTAGCAATGCCCGCCGCCCCAACTAAGAACAAGTGAGTGGCCTCCGTCGGAGGACATCTAGCAAGTAAAGGCGGTCCGACTGAGGAGGAGTTAGAACTAGCACTTTGAGCGGCTATAGCAGCCTCCACGCTCACAATAGAGTCGCGAAAGGTGAACATCTTCTAGCTTGGAGGCTAGACTACTTGCACAGCAAAGACGACCACGAGCCACTTTGATCGCGGGGGGCTGTTGAGATATTTTCGCTGTTCAACTGATGAAAACTGAGAGACTACGCCGTCATCGACGTTTTGTGATGACTTTTGGGGGCAAATTGCGGCTTTAAACAGTCATAATCGTAATAAAACAAGTTTTTGAACTAATCAGTTCTGGCTCATCTCACCTCAAGTAGTACTGGCACAAAAGACAATACACCAAAGAGTCTTCCCACATGTCAAGGTTCACCGCAAGTTAAAACACGTGGGACATTCGACTTGTTTTGTCTTATGTTTGAAATGGAGTCAGCGTAGCAGAAGTATGGAGTTTTCGAAGTAATCACCTTAGTTCAGTCAACATGCTTGCTTCAAATAAAATTGTTCGAAATTTTTTGATTAGCGAAAAGAAGACAAAAGGACATGAACTTATTGTTTCCACCTATGCCTACTCAGTGAATGCAGAAAACGGTAAAGCACTTCCTACTGTTTTCTTCATCATCCCGCAGTTTCCCATTGACTTGCGCGAAATGCTGTAATCAGGAGGCCACGTACTGTGCTGTGGTTTTCTTTTTTCGCAGTATCACCGCTTCGTATGATTGATGTTAGGGACCGTATTACTACGCAATGGCGTAATGATAAACCACACCTTTGCGATTGTGTTTTGAGAACTCTGTCGTGAAATTCTTGTTTCCGCATTCAATATTAATTTTGAGCGCTTTTCCAAGACTGCGACAGGCTAGTTCTATGATTGTAAACAGATAATAAGGTGAGACATTTATACTTTTCTGAAGAACCTTCTGATGAGCTTGCCTCAACTCAACTGGGCTCTCGTCCGTTCCTTCTTACTTGTAGTAATATCGTGACTTGTCCTCAAGGGGCCCAGCAACTTTGTAAGTTTTCTTTGACGATTGTTCTAATACCTTAGGTTCTGCATGTGCAAAACTGCCGAACTCTTTCAACTGAATAATCTACATTTATTTATTTATTTATTTTTTATTAAATTAAACAATCCACATTATTTCTATTTATTTATTTGATGCACTCATTGGTGCACTTTTGCAACTTTCATACATGGGTACAGTTGATTTCGTCGTCAGTGAGGCTTTCTCTACCATTGGTCTTTTCTTCTTTTAAAGCGATCACCATTGTAGGGAAACAGCGATGAACTCAACTACGCCTACTGGTAGCCCCGACCGATTGCGACGATATCAACTATAATTAGTTAAGTATTGTGTGATGCTCCGTCTACAGCTTCTGGTAGTAGGCTTGTTACTCCCTATTTTGATTCAAGAGATGGAGAAGGTGTGATGGCAAGTGGTGTTATCATGCACACGAGTCCAAGTTTTGTCCTGGCTACTTCCTAGCAAGCCATGCTTATGATGAGAAGATTATTCGATATTAGACGAGCCCTAAAGGACAAAAACAAACATTTGCACATCAGCTGGCCCCTGCAACTCGTAGATCAAAACGAATTCATACGCCTCCATTCCTACTAAATGTGTGGTTCGTGGCGCAGCTTCCATTCCTAGTAAATGTATGGTTCGTGGCGCACCTTTAAAGAGGATTGATCAACGCCTTGGGCTCTACTAGCTTTTTTATATTCAACTATATGTGTACATAAACTTTCTTGAAGAATGGGCAGAGGGAAGTAGCACTGATACTCCAGGCCAACCCTACCACCAGTGCGATTCTGAGTGTAACTATAGCGTTGTAGAACCGTTATCCGCTCAATTTCTGGAACTTTGGCTGATCAATACCGAAATATACCATTCACTCCTCTTTCATCCCTGGTTCGGTGGAATTTTCATCGAATATTTTTCACATTTTTCATTGAATCTTCAGCAGTTTCATCTGATATTCGTCGACTCAGCGCTCGCGTTCGAGCTTTCATTGCTTCCTTGTTTTCTCACATCCAACGGTTTTAAAATTTAAAAAAAAAAAAAAAAAAAAGTGTAAAAAAAATTGGGTGTCTGAATTTATATCCACCAGTCCAGGTGTAAATGTCGAGTTTTCGATTTTTAAAACCCTTGCCGTCTTTCTTCTCGATAGCTCAATTACTTGTGAATCCTTCTATAATGCTCAATACAAAGACATTTCCCCTTTTGGGTTCTTTTTGTTCTGTTGAACTCATTTCATGAGTTTTTTCTATTTTTTGGAACCCTATCATGTTAAGGAGTTCGAACTTACAGGAATATGTAATAGTTACATTGAAATCACAATCATTTTCTGTTTCCTTTCTCATTTTTTCGTTTTTTCATTTTTTTTTGTTTTTACATTATTTTCTCTCTTTCTGGAATATGGCCAGTTTTTCTGGACAATCGGATTTTTCTGGCCAATCGGATTTTCTTTACGGTTTCCCATCTATTTGCAAATCTTGCCCTCATTTCTTGTTCGCCGCTTTCACTCTTTTCGACGCGCTCATTCCATTGCATCATACCTCTCCATAAACCGAAAGTCCGTTACAGTCAGCGCTTACGTGCCATATTTGAAGAACTCGTATCCATTTGTGGAAAATGTACAACCTGTTATGATTCAGAATTCCGCACCTTTTGTAATTCGCGCCATTCTGTACGAGAACTATCCGTCACTTTTCATACATTCACATGCCTTTTCTCTGCTCAGAAGCTCTCTTTTTTCTCTCCTCTCTCTTCTCTCTCTCAATCTGCAGTCCCTTTCAGTTTCCTGCGAATCACTGATCACAGAGCGAAGAGGATTCCTCAGTTTTGAAGCTATTATCTAAAAATATCCCAAGAAGGCTGGGTTATAAGAAAAAGTCCCAGATGGTACTCGGATCTCCAGCTGACCGGGCGAGTGCGCTACCGTGATAAGTTTCGGAGCGCGAACTGTGGCGTTAAACAGCAGTCACCATACCAAAACTACTTAGATTATATTTCGTTTGCCTATCATTTATGCAGAAACACTTTGTTATTCGATTTCACTGCTCCGACATTCGCAAAATCTAGTTTCGTGCTCAGATGAACAAGTGCAGTGCTAGAGAAAGAAAAAATGAAGATGCCGCTTTAATTTTTCACGTTCTCAACATCGTTCACAGTTTGGGTTTATTTTTTATTCTTATTTCCACTATCAGACGATTGAATCTGGGTTAACTTTGTTCCCTAGAGGTTGTATCGAGTCTATGACGAAAACCAAGCCTAAATTTCTGAGGCATCCGCTACTGCTATCTAGTGGGTCTTGCAGCGAACCTTCCAAATATTTGCACTTTCACGGGTGAATGCCGGAGGCATGGCGCGTTCCAGTTCGTCACCTCATTTCTTATCGTCTTTATATTGACCATATGTACATCATTCGGTATTCTATGGCATACCTTCTTGGCTGTACTGTGCTTCTATATTTTAATGCTCGATCGTGTTGTTAATCGCCTTCTCTCAACAGTTCCTATTCTCTGAACGATTTCAATCGAACGATTTTCAGGAAGGTCGAAAGGTGAAGCCAGACAGACTGTGATAGGCATTGATCGATCCCTCACACACATTTAATGCGACTAAATGCGAGACGAGCTGCGTCGGCATCAAAGCCTCGGCTCGGAGGAACCACAGATAAAATTCAATGAGGCCCCGTTTGACGCCATCTTTGACGTGGGCGATGAACTTGGCAGGTGAGCGCTAGTAGCAGTTTTTGTCAGTCTTGCAATTACTCGACAAACATTCGGGAATGGTGGATTGCTGGTCAAAAATCGGCTCCAATTAGGGATCGAACCTGGACCTCAGGCTCACTAGGCTGTCCTACTAAGAGGGCCAAGGCGGTGGTGGTAGTGCGCTGAGTGGTGAGCACAGGTGAAGGAGTCCAGGTTCAATTCTTTCGTGGCATTCTGTCCTCAATTCGGCATCCCTCTCCTAATCAGTTCGATTAGAGCTGTAATTTTATTCCCCCATACTTTAAAGACCGATTATTTTATACTTTACAGTGGACAGTTTGCTGTGGTGAGAAAAGTGGTAAAGAAATCAACGGGTGAAGAATTTGCGGCGAAATTCATCAAGAAACGACGCTATGCGACTTCGAGGCGTGGCGTCACCAGGGCGAACATCGAACGAGAGGTTGGTCCGTTAAAAAGTAATAACTTCCAAGAACTCTGAAAAGTTACCACCAGAAAATTCTCGTTTTTCCACCAGCTTACTTTTCATTTACGTTTCTTTTACTATTCGTTTTTTATTTCGTTTCTTCTTTTTTTTGTTTTCCCATCCTACAACAGCCCCTTTAGCTTTGGGATTGCTTTGGAGGGTCAATAAGTCACAGTTAAATGCTCTTCGCTACCGTTATGCAACACCTTGACACAGAAAGATCCCAATCAGGCTCCCTGGCAGTGCATTGTCCTCGTCGTTGAGGTGGAGGGGGCGACATTTGCCATACTCCCCCCGCCCAAAAAAAGATCCCTCCACACGGAAGTCAGCTCCCCCTTCCCGTATCCTCAATCTGCCCAAACTTTCTCCACAACTTATACACATTTTTCCGCGCTTTTTCTGGAAAAATTCGTCCAGTTCCCCAAAAAAGTATCCGCGAATGAAGCTGGTGGAGAGGAGGGGCCGGGTTCAGCATAGCGACGTGAAAACGTGAAAACCAGCGAAGTCATCAACCATCAACTACGTTCATGGAAAAGCAATACTTACAATTCACCAAAAACACCACAGTACCTCCACCGGCCAATACGACCACCACCACTGGGCATCGTACTACCTTCGCGTACCGTGCCTTGATGCGAGTTCCCTTCATTTGTGCTTGAAGTAACTGATCGAAGTAACATGGATTTGGTGGATCTTACGTTACTCTTTGAAGCTGAAACGTTATATTGGTCAAGGCATTATTAGCAACGTGGAAGATATCGTGCAGAGACGATGCATGTAAACTGATGCGCGCCATTCCTCCAGGAGTAAAATGATTTGAAAGCCAGTATTGCCATTATGCAGTCACCACTTAATCTACACGAAAATCACAGAAAATTGCGCATTTTCGCGTTTTTTGCTTGAAGGGCGACGACCACACCATGTAACGAGTAGACTCCGATCGTATAAGATATCCCTTGGAAAAAGTTAATAGAAACCGAACTAAAGCAAAAAATCAAAAACGCACGAAATCGCGTTTATCTCGTTATTTTTACACAATTAAAGCGAGTTCTGTATGCCAGGTGGGCTAGTCGGAAGGAACTTAGAAAGTTGCCTCGATGTGGGCCTCCCACACTACGATTCATCTAACAGTATCCATCTGGGGAACCCGATCAGACTCTATCATATATTTTTGCTCACTTCCCATTTTCTTCAGTACACTTATAGATATCACCGCACTTTTCAATTTCAAGCTCAATAGACGAGTAGAGCTTTTCAGTCCAGCCCACATAGTCGACATAACTTAAACAAGATGTTTAGGTGTCCGTACTGCGGACCGTGGGCGGTCACAGCAATGTTATCGAACTGCACGAGGTCTACGAAACCCCAAGTGACGTCATTCTAGTACTTGAACTGTGAGTAATCCCTTTTTGTGCTGCTTTTTCGTTTTTCCCTCTTCAATGCACAAATCCCATTTCTGAGTGATTAATGGCCCTGCGCTAGACATTCAATTAATCTTAGTGGTTTGTTCTGAAGTGGTCTTTTTTGATCAATTCATCCAATTTCTCATCCACAGCAGTATTGAAAAGGGCACACGTCTGGCACGGTTGCGGCTGGCGGCCACAGCCAATTCCTCTGAGACCGCGCCAGGAAGAGGCTACTCTTATGTTGCGTTCAGCCGAGCCTTTCGTGGTTTCACAGTTTGTTGCCATGCTAATCCAAGTTTGAAGTGGGGAGGAAAGACTGAAGTGTTCTGGGAAATGAACCTTCTATGACAAGGGGAAGTGAACATTGAATGATGTCAAGCTTTGAGGCACTAAATAAACTCGAAATGTAAATGATAGAAGATAAAGCCCGCGCCGATAATCAGTCCTTTTTCGGGGGACTGCCCGCATTCACTTCCATTGAGAAATGTACTGTGCTTTGGTTTGAGCGGGGATTGTGCCGTGTAAGCGACTTGCATGCCCAGTCGATTGAAAAGTCAGTGTTCTCATCTGTCCAGAAAACTCGGCACAGTTTCTCGTCACAGAGGTAGAAGTAATGTTCGCAAGCGCGCGTCAGTTCAAGATCTGACCCACGGACCACGTGAGTGGTAGGTATGCCCCCTGCCAATACACCACCTCGGCCTCAAAATTGCCTAGCCCTAAAGGAACTTCCAAGGCACTAGGAACGTTAGAAGGCCAGGTTTCTTTACACCCATGCTACTGCGTTGCAGCTGAGAAGCATACAAGTAAAACAGTGAGTCTCTAACGCATTTAGGGTGAAGATTATATTGGATGCGAGGAATTTTATTTGAGGCGATTCAGGGGTAAGCTTATGACGATTTGGTATAGCTCAATTACCCATACTGTGGGGATTGTGTTGTGAAGGGCAAGAAGCGGTACAGCTGCTGTAGTGGACAGCCCAGTCAGGGTGAGCGCTGGTGTGCGAGTAGTCGAATGAGAGGTTCAAGGAAACCAAGGGATCATTTCTCAAGTCCATGCCATGCAATCAGTCAGCAACCAAGGGATCATTTTCTCAAGTCCCATGCATGCAATCAGTCAGTGGATGTCATATTCTCACATGTGCGGAAGCGTGGCTTATCGCGAGCGTCACATGGATACTCATTCAATACGTTGGAAATTTTCAGGGTGTCCGGCGGTGAGCTGTTCGATCATGTCTGCGCTAGGGAATGTCTGGACGAGGTCGAAGCGGCAGCTTTCGTCCGTCAGATTCTTCTCGGCATCAAGCACCTTCACAGCCTTCACATCGTCCATCTCGATATCAAGGTATTATTTTATTTCGCAAGCTGTTCTGTTGATTGCGAAAATTCCAGTGCAGTAGCAAATAGCGCTGAGAATGAATTTTCATTGAGAATTTTCCCTGCGCAAACACGATCTTGCATAACTACCTGATCATGCTCCTTTTTCTTTCCTTTTCCACTTCACAGCCAGAGTATGAGTGAAAAGAATTTTGAGCCTCATATTAAGACAGTTCATGAAGGGATTCCAAGCAATTGTTGAGTAAAAATGCCAACAATTACAGTAATTTTGACAAGTCAGTGTGTCTATGTCGTGAATGATGCTGTCTGGTTGATATTGCACCTAATGAATCCTTTTTCTGATTCTCCACTGCTAGTTTGAAGGTGTGATGGATGGGAAAGGTGTTTACGGTGGTTTTCGCAAAGTTGGACTAGAGGACTCGCGCATATGCGCGTCGCGTGCCGATGTGAAACCAAGCGACAGAGATTTTGCAAAGGAGCACGGTTGTGTCAGTCTAAGAAATTTCCCGATCAGCCAGTCAGGTCTCGAGTCCTACGCCGGATCCCCACCGAGAGGTCGTATTTACTCGCTAGAGGGAGGGTGTCATATTTGCCTCGATGACAGTTTTCAAGATGAACCCAGGAGAGCACAGAAAAACTCCGGGAAAGTGGTAGGAAGTCGAAGAAAGTTAGGAAGGTGGTAGGTAGCATCAGGGTAGGGGGGGGGGAAGGTGGCACCACATCAGTGGAAGAACGTTCAGGGTGGAGAAGCCGTAGTTCGCTAGACGTACCTTAACAGCATAACCTGCCCTAGCGGCTACTTCATGAGCCTTCTGCCTTTTCGGATGTTCATCATCTTGGCCCCACAATCCGAGTTACCAAATGCGGTCAAGGAGAAACAGAACCGACCTACTCTAGTGGCCTGAAGCGCGTCGAGCCGCTTATCCATGCTTATACCATTATCCCGAGCAGATCTTGCAGTGGGTGAAGCTAATGCAATTGCTCAAGACACATTCCGTGGTAATCGGATGGGTGGGGGAACGAGCAGAGGCTCTCGACCACTGTTGTACCTTCTTAACTGGTGACCTCGTTCTTATATAGTAGAGGGG